TTTTTTTTTTTTTTTTTGGTATCGGGGATTGAACTCGGGTCCTTGCGTTCCGAACCAGTGAGCTAAATCCCTGGCATCTAGTCTCTTTCTTTGCAGCTCATCTTGGGCCATATTATTAGATTAATCTTTCTAGAAGCAAAACTGCCAAAAACTTTCATTCTAATTTCACCCTAACTTCATTCTTCCTTTACCACTAAAATCAACACAACATATATTGAGCATATCTCATCATTAGATAATCTTTGAGATGCAAGTGGTAGAACTGTGAACATTACCAAAAAAGCCCACAGACTTTCTGTGCTAGGTCAACAGTCCAGGCAGAGTTTCCTTGATGTCCATACGCTCCTATTTCCCAAAGCATGTTCCAAGAAGCACTGTTTCTTTACATGCAAAAGTGTGTGGGAAATTCATAATGCACACTTTAGAATTACAAAGAAGTCTGTCATTAAATCTGTACAAAACCAATTTATCACATTTTGATATCTTTTTATTTCTTTTTTGGTTTAATTTCTGTTAACCTTTCATAGAAACACTGTGAAATTACCCTTTGCCTATAGAAGAAAGTCAATATCCCATAATTTAATATTTCTCATTGCCACTGCATAGCTCTACCTTATCCACCCAGGACTTCTCACCTCGAACACATTCTTTCTTACAGTAGACTGGTATCCTCACTGGCCCCTACGTCTTGCAGCTTTAGCTTAAGGCTTGGAACATGTTTTCTTCTCTGACATGATTTTGTTTCTTCTCTCCTCATCCCATTCAAATCATACGCATCCACTGAGGAATCCCTCGTAATCCTACACAGATGCTGCAGCCCATGCCATCTTTACCTTCTACCCTAACTGACTATAATACTTCTATTCATAACAATGCTACCTGAAAAATTCTACCAAGCATTCACTTAGGACATAAAAATTAATTTTAAGATGCTCATCATCTCAGAGATTTCCAAGAGCCCATAATTTAGTTTAGTGTATAAATATATTATAATAGTCTACTACTGGAAAAGTTCTCTATGAACTTTTCTATAAACTAGATTACAAATTCTATGGTGAGTAAATCTTATCTATCTTAACTTCATTTTGTCCTATTAAAGGGCCGTGTAAGGTACCAACTAAGGAAATGGACTTTGCAACTTTTCCTACAATTAGGATAAACAAGATATTATCAACACAACTCTCTCTGCTCCCATGAAATAACTACACATGATGATGAGACAGAGAGGGATATATGTAAAAAGACAGATAAAAACCTGTTGAAAACGTTGTATGGCTATCAATACAGGGATGACTTGAGGAGCTAGGACCTACCACAGATCATGAGCCTGGTATTCATGTAGGCTTTTCCCTTCAAGACATTTGATGACTGGCTGGCCTTGAACTTTTTGCTTGAGTTTTGACTTTATCAAAACGTGAAGCAAACAGAAGCTGGTGTTCAAGGCGCACCACGACGGAGGAACCATGATAAACACGCGGGATGTCAGGTGGGCTATTTGAAAGATTGCAAACTACGAAAAAGGACTAATGAAAAGAGCACAACCAAAGGAGATTACCACTCTCCATCCTCAGAAAATAAAACAATACACTGTTCTGATTAAAGTGACTTGTCCCCAGTGTAACTGACTACCAGAGCAAAGGAAAATCTCTTCTGTAAGAAGTTAACAAAATCCAGACACTCGAATTTTCTCTAAAGGTTTCTCATAAGGAATATCTGACATGACATCTGAAATTACCAAGCATAAAAGAGAAAAACCCACTGACTAAAGAACAAGAAAAAAAGACAGTAGAATAAGATCTATAATAGATAAAATATTATTAGGAATGGATCTTAACAAAACAGTAATCACTATGTTTAAAAAAATTAAGAAGAAAATGAATGTCAGCAGAGAACATGAATCTTTTTAACAACAAATGGAAATTGTAATACTGAAAAATACAGCAACTGGGGATTAAAGCATGATAAACAGCTTTTGAATCTAATGAGAAAGGAAAATAAAAAATGTGAAAAAAGGAAAAAAATGGAAACAAAGTCTTTGTAAATAGGGAAAGGTAAAGGGGGTGAAGGGAGAGCACGGGCATGGGTAAAAAATAAGAACCAAGATGTATCATGTAAAGGTACAAGATCCCAGTGATGAATGTAACTATTCTGTTTACTTTAAATGTACCAATAAACTTAATGGAAAAATATCTAATAAGAAAGCTGAAAAAGATTAGAAACTAAGATACACAGGTACAATTAACATACATGGAAGACTGGGGAGACTATAGCATGGAAAACAGAAAATATAGGAGACAAATGAGGAAAGATAAAGAAGCTGAACAGATGAATAATCCAGGCCACTGAAGAAAGGAAAATAATTTGGGGAAAAATAATACATGAAAAGATATTCAAGCCAAGCGTGGTGGCGCATGCCTATAATCCCAGCACTCTGGAGGCTGAGGCAGGAGGATCGCTGTGAGATCGAGACCAGCCTGGGCTACATAGTGAATTCCAGATCAGTCTCAACTACATAGTGAGACCCTGTCTCAAAAAAAAAAAAAATCCAGAGTTTTCATGAATCAATGAAAGAACATCAAATCAAAAATAAGATACACTTCCAACTTGAAACAAAATAAGTAAAATTAAAGTGATATCTAAGTTAAATTGCTGAAAAACAAAATACAATGAGAAAACACCTAAAAGTAGAGAAAAATAAATGACTAAAGGGCTAATCACTCTTCGACAGGAATAACAGAAACAGAACAGAGTAGAATATCTTCATACTGCTTCACAGAGTCTATTTTAAAAGCTTTTACTCAGTGAAAACAGCCTCTCAAAATGAAAACAAAATGAAGATTTTCAAAATGTTTTCCCATTGGTAAAAGATTCATAATTCAGCGAGAGTTCCAGAGGGAAAGGAATTCCATCATTTCCAGGTGAAAACAAGCAGATAACAGAAGGTAAAAAGAGCAATAGGAGAAGTAAACATGTGAGTGACTAAATGAAGATTGTCTTTATAAGAGAATAATAATAGTAATATAAAGTATAAAGTACAGGATGAATCAATGTATAGAAACAGTCAAAAATGCAAGTGAAAATAAAAGGAGAGAAAATAAAAGAAGTTAGCAGAATTTAAAATAGGGGCACTGTTAAAAGTACT